ACGCCTCGGATTAGTCGTGCTTTTTTGTGCGATGAACTGAAATCCAGAATTTCAATTTCTTTATCTTCTTCTGCTTAATAATTTCAGAATTAGCAAAAGTTTTAGCCCGAACTTGCGGGTTCATATCTTGCTAATTAACTAGATTCACTGCTCATTGTATCGAATTTTCAAAATTTAAACTTCCTGGCTTTAGTCATTTCGAATTTTCTGAATCAGCCGGAATATAGACCCGTCTACATCGTCCAAACACAGTCCGGTCTGAGATTTGATGCCCGTTAGACAGAAACTTTTACCTACACTTATACAAAACACACGAATGTGATATCATCGCTATGCATTTTTTTGCATAAGTCATGCAAAAATGCATAAACGGTAGTCAGATGTCTGCAAATTTTAGTTAGCATAACGGGCGTATAAAAAAAGCTAATTATTACAGTATTTCAGCTGTGTAAGGTATTACAGAAATTCGCGTTTCGCGAAGAAAGTGTAGAAATTATTGTTATGTAATTTTGCAAGTGGTTCATTTGAAATTTCAGGCGGTAAACGTAAAGAATAATAGAATAAGCACGAGAGTTGTGTGTGCCAACGATGCGCAATCAGATTGGTGGCGCTCCATCGCCACGCATATGCCTTATTGAAAAAAGCTCCCCAACACAGGCATTTTTTTGCTTTCAAATTTTACAGTTTTGAATGTCTAATTTGTGCTCACATATCACACTTTATTTTAAATGTTTAGTCAGCAGTATGTGAAAATTATTACCATTTAGTTTTTTCCGAATCGAATTTTTTGTGCGCTGTCACCCTTCAGCATACCTTTTAGACCAGGAAAATCGTCGTACAAACTGGTTTTGCAAACTCATCACATACAAAGATGCCAAAAATCCTTTCTGTCGAACTGGCTAGGCTGTTTTTTAACACATTCCTATTTTCCATTAGGCCTTTCTGACCTACAAAAATGAATTTTTTAAGCATAAAATAGATCATAATCCATCATATGGCACTTTTTCAGGAATATGGTTATAATTTGCATGCGGAAAAAGGTAAACCTCAGTTTGTCGGCACTGTGGATCCGGGTAGCCCAGCTGATCAAGGTGGGCTTCGACCTGGTGACCGAATTTTCGCTGTCAACGGGCATAGCATCATTGGAGAAAATCATAAACAGGTC